TCAGTGGACTTGGGGAGGAGCATGTGTGAAGAAGGGAGAGGGAGGATGGGGCCGGGAAGAGAGGAGGGAGGGCCTTATGGGGGGATACAAAATGAATAAACTGTAATTAATAAAAATAAATAAATTTAATAAAAAAAAAGAATTTCATATATGAGCTATTTTGGGCCTGAGGTCCAATTACATGACTGTTGGTCACCATCAGGATATAAAAGCCACTACTGCATCTTCCAGAATATCTTGCCATGCTGATCATTGTTGTAGTTCAGAGGCATTGCAGCTGCATAGGTCCACTGAAGGATTTTCTCCCTGAGTAGCTCAACCATCTCTATCTGGTACCATGAATGACTTCTTAGGGAAGAAGATTCCAGATAAGTTTTAGTTCCATTCTTCTACATCCTCTGTCTGAAGTGTATAGTGTCTTCAGCAATGGGGTCTTTCCTTCAGTTTCTAGTAAGCAATCACCTTTCTGTTGCATCCAAGAACTACATCATACCATCAGGCACAGACATCAATCACCTTAGGTAAAGGGGTGGAAAAGGCTATTCCAAGAAAATAGATTCAAAAAGCAAGAATGTGTAGCTATTTTAATATCTGACTAAATAGACTTCAAAGCAACATAAATCAGAAGAGATAGGAAAGGACATGATATAAGCTATTAAAGGAAAAATCCAGAGAGGATATTGCAATTCTAAACACAAAGGTACTCAAGTTCATAAAAGAAGCACTACTAAACCTAAAATCACATAAAAAACCCAAGACCATGATGGGGGGTGACTTCAATATATGACTCACAGTCAAACAGGTCATCCAGACAAAAACAAAATATACAAATGCTTAAGTTAAATTACAGCATAACAGAACATTTCATTCAAAATACTAAAGAATATACTTTCTTCTCAATAGCCCATGAACTTTTTTCAAAACTGACCAGAGCATAGGACAAAATGCAAGTCTTAACATTTTATCAAAAACTTGAAATAACACCATGCATCTTATCTGGCCACCATAGATTAAAGTTGAATATTACCAACAGTGGGAACAGCATAAAGTTTACAAAGTCATAGAAGCTGAACAACTCACTACTGAATGAAAATTAGGCCAAGACAGAAAAAAAGATGCACATGCATTAAGATCAACAATAAGCAAGTGGGACTGCATGAAACTAAAATGTTTCTGAACAGCAAATGATAGCATTTATTCAAGTGAAGAGGCAGCCAATAAACAGAAAAGAAATCTTTACCAGCTATAAATTTTATAGGTTAAAATGTAGATTATACAAATATTTCAAAAATCTGAATGTCATGAAAACAAACAGCCCAGTTAAAAGATGGGTCCTGGTCATAGATCTACACAGAAATCTCTCAAACATTCACTATCCTTAACCATCATGAAAATACAAATGAAGTTACTATGAGATTTCATCTTACCCAAAATCAGAATGGCAATGATCAAAAAACAAATGACAACAAAAGGTGGCTAGAGAAAGGGGAAAAGACTTATTTACTGCTAGTGGGAGTTCAAACTAGTACAGGTACTTTGAGAATCAAGTTCCTCAAAAATCTAGAAATAATTCTACCACATTATCTAGCTATGCTACTCCTGGGCACAAATTCTACTAAACAGATATACTGATCATACATGTTCATTGCTGCTCTATTTACAATAGATAAAAAATGTAAACAGCCTAAATGTCTATCAACAGATGAACTGGTAGTAAAAATGTGGTACACTTACACAATGAAATTTGTTTAAAAATGAAATTATGCTATTTTCAGGTAAATGGATAGATCAGAAAATCACCATTCCAAGCGAGGAAATCCAGTTCTAGAAAGACGGATGTCAATTGTTTTCTCTCATTGTGGATGTTAGCTTTAAATCTTTAGATATGTGTATTTCATTTACAGTTACTACATAGGTCAGTAAACTAGTAATGAGCCTTGTGGAGGGGTGCAGTAAAGGGTGAAAAAGTAGGGCTAAAAGGAAAAAATGAAACGGGAAGAGTGAGGGATAGAGGGTAAATGAGGAAATATGAAAAGTGATAACTAACACAAAAAAAACTGGAAAAGTTATATGGAAAAAACTATTACTGTAGATGTTCTCTCAAATTAAAAAATACATACAGATGTTTAAAATATTAAATGCATTACCTATGACAGGGCAACAATGCCTCTCCTGGCCACCATCAGCTAGCAAATAAAAACCCAATGTCAAGAATGGGTTGCAGGGGTTGCGGACATAGCTCACCAGGAGTGCAGGGAATCTTAGGAAAGAAGTGGGAAATAGTAAGATCTGGAGAGGACAGGAGCTCCACACAAAGACCAACAGAACCAAAAAATCTGAGCACAGGGGTCTTTCCTGAGACTCATACTCCAACCAAGTACCATGCATGGAGATAACCTAGAACCCCTGCACAGATGTAGCCCGTGGCAGTTCAGTGTCCAAGTGGGTTCCATAATAATGGGAACAGGGACTGCCTCTGACATGAACTGATTGGCCTGCTCTATGATCACCTAACCCTGATGAGGGAGCAGCTTTACCTGGCCACAGAGGAAGACAATGCAGCCAAACCTGATGAGATCTGATAGACTAGGATCAGAAGGAAGGAGAGGAAGATCTCCCCTATCAGTGGACTTGGGGAGGGGCATGCGTGGAGAAGGGGGAGAGAAGGTGGGATTGGGAGGGGAGGAGAGAGGGGTTTATGGGAAGATACAAAGTGAATAAAGTGTAATTAATAAAAATTAAATAAAAATATTTTAAAAAACGAATGGGTTGCAACTTGGGGAGGGACATGGGTGGAGAAGGGGAAGGGAGGGTGGGACTGGGAGGGGAGGTGGTAGGGGTTTACAGGGGGATACAAAGTGAATAAAGTGCAATAAATAAAAAGTAAAATAAAAAATTTTTATATAAAAATATATTGAATAAGAAAAAAAAGAATGGGTTGCTCCTATTGGATCTATTGGTGAATGAATACCCATAGACTTCAAATATTACAATGGTACTTTTTTTTGTTTATCCTCCTTGATAGTAATACCTATTGATGAAGACATCATATACTTGAATTATAGAACATATGGCAACTCACACTAGTATTAACCTGGAAGCTTCATCTCTTTTGGCTAACTTTCATGGTGATAGAAGGTATTATGCATGCTACTAGAGGAAAAGAAACTGAGCATCAGTCTTACACAGCTGTGAAGTCTGTCAGCTATAGGAATGACCTGCCTGGAAAGATGTGTCCATTGGTGCAGTAGTGGCACAGATGTCTCGAGAGTATCTAAACACTTTGTTTATATTTAAAGCTCACTTGACAAGTTACTGGGGCCAAGAACTAGACTCATTAAAGGCCCTAGGGGAGAGCCTACTATGATTACCCTGCTAAGTAGGCATTGTATTATACCACCTCCTAATGACTTCTTGTTATATCCATAGACAAATCCAATGTACTTTTTAAAACAGAATATCCAAATCTTCTTCCAACCACTCCCTTGATACAATGAAATTTCTAGTATTACCATTTGATATGTTCTAGAGTTTTCCATGTGTTTAATACTAGATATTTATGAGATAATATTTTGCCATATATCTTATAATTATTATAAATGAAAGAGGATGCAAGAGAAATACAAAACTGCAGCAACAAAGAACTATTAAATTAAAAGTTTTTCTTGGTTGATTATCAGTCTCTGCAGGGCCCCTGGACCCAGATTTTTTTGGCTCTGTTGATCTCCTTGTGGAGCTCCTGTCCCCTCCAGGTCTTTCTATCTCCCCCTTCTTTCATAAGATTCGCTGCACTCTTGTCCAAAGTTTGGCTATAGACACCCTACTCAGATGTAGCCCATGGGCAGTTCAGTCTCCATGTTTGTTCCCTAGTAAGGGAAGCAGGCACAATTACTGGCATAAATGCAGTTGGCTGCTCTTTGATTACCTCCCTCTAGCGAGGTGGCCTTACTAGGCCACAGAGAAAGAGGATCCAGACAGTCCTGATGAGATCTGATAGGCTAGGATCAAATAGTAAGGGAGGAATATCTCCCCTATCAGTGGACTAGGGGAGAAACATAGGGGGTAAGAGGGAAGGAGGGTAGGACCAGGGGGCAATGAGAAGGGAGCTACAGCTGGGATGCAAAGTGAATAAATTATAATAAATAATAATAAAGAAAAATTATTGAAAAACAATCTTCCTAAATGTGACTAAAAGTTAAGACAAAAATCCTGTTTAATTAAAAGTGCATGTTCCTATTCAATATAAAACTGCATCACAACATGAGAAAATTGTGCTTTTATAAAGCAAGTATCATTCAAGTACCTACCATGTTCTAGGCACTATGGTAAATACTAAGAGCACCATGCTGAACAATGAATGATCCAAAACTCAGGAAATATTAATGTTCAAATAAACAAAATTAGGTTTCATTACTATTGATTACAATTCATGTTGTTACTTCACCTATTTCACAATTTCTTTTAAAATCACTTTAGACCACAGTGATTTTGACAGCATAATAAGTATCATGTAATAATACGGGCAATCTTATTTTAACCTGAAAATCATCTAATACAAACTTCCCTCCTTTAAAAAAAATGAAGCATTATGTAAGAGGATTTTTAATGCAATAGTAATTTTTCTAAACATCTAAAGTTTGCCACTAAACATCATCTTGAGTACTGGGGTTGAAGTGAAATGAGAGAATTATTGGCAGAAAATGGAACATACAATAATTTCTACCTTAATTTATATATATCTTAGGACAAAATATTAAAGACATTTGAAGAAAAAGAATTGTCTACTACTAAAATAAGGAAACAGGAGTAGGGAGCTCCTTCTGACAAAGCACCCAAGTAGAGACAGCGACCACACGGCATGTACTGCAGCTCCCTCTACAGTGCTCACTGAGTGACACAGTCCTCAGGCACAGGAGACTTGAAAAAACTTCAATCTGGTGATAATGACCTCAGCGATCTTATCAATATAGAAAACAGAGAAAATATCCCTTACAGCTTACCTTTTTTAACTCCTGACATATTAATTCTTCATAAAGCCGTGGAATAAATTTACATTTTTGCTGTCCATCTTTCTTGATGTTAATATTTTCATAACATATTCTCCTTTTCCTTTCAAAAATTGATATAGAATTTGAGTTTTTAATTTTAAATATATAAATATTTATATAAGTAAAGATAAATTATATATTTTTTAAAAGATATATTACACACACACACTCATACACACAGCGTTCTGCCTGCATGTGTGCCTGTATGCCAGAAGAGGGCACCAGATCTCATTATAGATGGTTATGAGCCACCATGTGGTAGCTGGGAATTGAACTCAGGGCCTTTGGAAGAACAATGAGTGCTCTTAACCTCTGAGCCATTTCTCTCCAGCTCAAGATAATTTTTTTAAGCAACCACTTCTGCTTTTGATAGATTTGATAATGTCAATAGGTTAGGTCAATACATTCAAATTCTTAGGAAAATACATGTTCATGTTGGTTGGTTTTGTTTTTTAAAATCTGAAGCAATGGGGATGCCAAGATGAGAGCTGTTGTCAAGCCTGATGACCTGCATTTAAGCTCTGGGGCCCACATGGTAGAGGATTAGGATTCCCACAAGTTTTCCTTTGCCTTCAGCATAGGTGTGCACACACATGCACATATATATACAGATACACACAAGAAAAAGCCAACTAAAATTTAGAGAACTCTCATAAAATTGTTCTAATAATTATTCCAAAGGGAAAAAAAAAAAAGAACACTAGAATGACAACATGAACTGACATTATTAAAGGTAATAAAAAAAAAAAAAAACAGTCCTGATAGTCTACTTACCATAAGTTTTTAAAATACAAAATCCCTGGGTATTTTAATTTCTGCTTAAAATAAGAAAAATATAACCCTTTGTATTTACATCATCAAACAGTACACCAAAGGGCATTAAGATCTCTGAGAATAAAGAATGAATGTATTTTCAATGTGATTAAACAGTTTAAAAAATTAATAAATAAAGCACTAATGACTAGGCTCAAGTCCTGGAGGCACACAGCCTGACAAAAAAAAACTTCCTGTTAGCTCTGTAAGCTAATACAAACCACCTAACTTCTCTTAGCGTCAGATTCTTCATTTATAACTGGACATAATAATAAATACTTCTCTAGAACACAATGGAAAGAGCAAAAAACAGATGTGCAGTATTTAGTGCCATACATGGCCCAATAAACCCACTATAACTTTTGGCATTGATCATTGTTAGAATTATATTTGTGTAAACCATACTTAAACCATGCTATTTTTCCTATTTATTGAACAAAACTTCAATGATATCCAGCATCTAAAAAAACTATACTAACTATACAAAAAATTAAATTAAAATAAGTAACAGAAAAACAAAATTTTAAGTTATATAATAATTGCCACAAATTTCATTAATCTGTGCTATGATTTAACTGTGCATTCACCATTCTGGCTCACTTTTCCACTGGTTTTTACATACAAAATTTAACAAGTAAGTTTGTTTTGCAAAACTTCAAATGAGTTTGTAGCCATAGAATAAATATATATTTATGATATTAGAATTGTGATGTATTACTTATGTCCATTTCTTTCTCAAAGAAAAGATAAAAATATATGTCACCATTCAGAATGGCCCTTTATTATGTGTAAAATCTCAGAAGAATTCTAACTCAATAATGTCCAAAATAGAAAAAATATATATACTGGAAAATATCCACTGCAGAATAAATCAAGACCACTCCAGATGAAATATATAGCAATGCAAGCAATCAAGCCAGAGAGAAGACAGCAAGAACAGCTGCAAAGCTGGAGCAGTCAAGAGAACAAAGCAGGATTCTGTCCTTCCCGCAGGCCAACATAGAAAATATAAACTGAAAAAGAGATGAAGTAGGGAAATTTAAAAAGGTTTTTAAAAAGAGCATAAAAATTGGGAGAGAGTGAAAATGAGTCCACATTAGAAGAAATAAAATGAACTGTATGAAAACCAAAAACAAAAAAATACCAATCAAGACCACAGTTAACAGTTACTGCAGTATTGACTGCTGTTCATGTTATTTAAACTGACACAGTAGGGAGAAGAGCAAGCCAGTAAACTGAAAGAAGCAAAAAAATGGTTTCTAATATCCAATGGCCATGACAGCCCTGGTTAAAATAAACAAGTCACAAAACAAAATCAAAAGTTATTAATCTGGAAGGAACAGGTAGTGATGAAGGGGCATCGGTAGGACAGAGATGAGAAGGGTTTCTCTGAAGACCCCTCTGGCTTCCTTATGCCATCCCACCCATGGCAGCTACCTCTTTTACTCCGACGGTACACTATCCCTTTAAAGGAAGCTCCTCCAGCTTTTGAAAGAAAGCATCATTTTGTTTTGAATGCCCTGTAAACAATGGTTTTAACATGACATGCAATTTCCTTCCAAATGCTTTCTCACCTCGGGCTTGATCACGGTCCCGTGGCCCTGTCTCCCTAACAAAGCTAATTCCTGGTGGTAATTTCCAAAGCAACCATTGCCACTCCATTCTTAGACCTAAGAATAGTATGGCTGTCTCACTAACTCAGAAAGTCTTCTCAGTTATCGAGTCGAAAGAATGGAAACATAGCCAAGGGTAAGATATGGAATTTGGATGCACCTTCTTTAGAACATTCTAGAATATTTTCTCTATATTTTAATTAAGCACAGTATATCTTAGTGATTAGGTACATGGTCCGTGTACTCAAATAGGTCTCAGTTAAAGTCTAGTTCTAGCACTTAAAGGTCACATGATCTAACACATGTTGTTTATCTTCTCTGATTCTTGAATTCTCTCACTAATAAAATAGGTTAACAATAGTCACTGAAAAGAGACTTGAAAGACTAAATGAGGTAATATATATAAAGCAAGAGACAGAATCTGACACATAAGAAGTCAATAGTTTTCTTATGGATTATTCCAAATAAAATGCTCCTTGGAGTTTTTCATATTAACTTTCCTTTCTTGAAAGGATAGCCTAGTATGAACTAGTACAATACTATATTAATGATGCTTGAGAACTCTTTCACTCTCACTTTCTCCCAAGTCTTACTATGTAATCCTGGAGGGCCTGGGAATCATTAAGTAGACCAGGCGGGTCTTGAACTCTCGGCAGTCCTCCCACCCCTGCCTCCCAAGTGCAGGAATCACAGGTGTGTACCACTGAACCAAGTTGTTGTTTGTTTTTACTTACTGGATGATATCATACTGTCCAGGACCAGGACCTGAATGTTTGATAATTTCTTGTCTTCCTGTACCAATGGCAAAATTTATACCTTTATATTTCAAGATTTCCTTAGGATAATCCTAAAAAGAAAGAATAAGAAAAAGAGCATGAGGCAAGTTGAGAGACATTAAATTTGACAGAGGTCTAAAAACATAGAGAGAATCCTCAGTCAAAAGAGTTGCACCAGTAAAATCAGGGCTCTTTAAGCTGGATTCTGTCCAATTTTCTCCCTGCTCAGCCAGGGTTCTCAGAATTGCCTCTAAAATTAGTCTATACCGAACCAATATGAACACTTTCCTCTTGATACTACACTGGGCAATTCAATCCCTTCAGGGCAATAAAGAGCAGCTCCACCTGGAAAGATGTATTATTTAGATAAAGGAAAAAATCTATTTAAAATTCATTAATTAAACAGATTGATATAGTACAAACACCACCAACAGATCTCAGGCAATTAATTACATGATATTTAAAAATGTGTTTGTGTAAAAATTTCTAGGAATAACAAGTGGTTAAAAAGAAATTAAACACTATGACAGTTCATGTCATTGCTAATATATGAGGACAGTGTAAGAATCAGTATCAGCTTAGAACACCCAAGACCAAGTTCTCAATACAAAGGAAATTTATTTGCTGCAGAAGGACAGAGGACAAGGAGTAAAAGACAAAGACAGGAGATAGAAGACAGGGGAGAAGGGAAGGGAACAAGGGAGAGAGGGATGGGCATTTATCACAGGGAAGGGAGGGACAAAAGACTACCTCTGGATAGAAAAAAAGACAGATGTGACACATAGGAAAATGGCCATTTATTAAGGTAAAAGGGGAAACCCTGTGTTAGGATGAGGTATTTAATTTTAATTGGACGTATTAATTAGGTGAGCCAAAGAGGGCTTTTCATTGCTGGACTTTTTTAATTTTTTATTAATTTTTTATTATTTTTTAATTTTTATTTTTTATATTAATTACAGTTTATTCACTTTGTATCCCAGCTGTAGCTCCCTCCCTCATTCCTTCCCAACCCCACCCTCCCTCCCTGATCTCCTCCCATGAAATCAGTGGCTTGCTCTTTGATCACCGCCCCTTGAGTGGGAAACAGCCTTGCCAGAGCACAGAGGAAGACAATGCAGCCAGTCTTGACGAGACCTGATAGGCTAGGGTCAGATGCAAGGGGAAGAGGACCTCCCCTATCAATGGACTTGGAGAGGGACTTCAATATTTTTATAGCTGGACCTTATTAATCAGCCCCAGGAGGAGGATGTAACCAAATAAAGAAAGAGACCTATATGGCTACCTCTAGGATTATAATCTAAGAGTTTTTAGCAAGGTAGAGAGAATGGGAGAGAAGGGCAAAGCCTGCCAGAGCCATGTTTGCCACACCTGGGCTGTCTAGAGTCCCTTTAGACAGGATCACTTTTGTTTGTTGTTTGTTTCTTTGTTTTGTTTTTTGAGACAGGATTTCTCTGTGTAGCAACCCCAGATGTCCTGGACTGTCTTTGTAGACCAGGCTGGCCTTGTACTCACAGAGATCCACTTGCCTCTGCCTCCCAAATGCTGGGATTAAAGGTGGACTATTCTTTTAATACAAAAGAAATTATTTATATCAGAAAAAAATCAACCAACATCTTCCCTCTAACATTAGTAAGAAAAGATGTCAAACTTATAAGCATGAACCACAAAAGGTTAAAGTTTCATCGGCAACTAAAACAAGAAAATAAAATGCAGTAAAAACAGTGGATTCCCTTCCAAGGGTTCTTCTCTCTTGTGATACATTCCTCTTTATGAAATTATTTAAGGATGATACAGACACTGCTCAGTGGCTAGGCTCAGAGGACCTGGGTTCAGTTCCCAGTACCCACATAGCAGCTCACAACCATCTGTAACTTCAGTTCCTGGGGATATAATACCTTCTTCTGGCCTCTGTGAGTACTGCACTCATGTGGTGCACATATAAAAAGCAGGCAAATATATAAAATAGAAATAAATAAATCCTATAAGAAATAAATTATTTAAGATTTTTTAACAAACCTGTTTTAACTGAAGGTTACTTATTGTTAGTTCATCTGAAAAGCTGTCAATGTAAAATATGGAGGGTGGTTGTTTTGTTATATGTTTATAGTGTCTTGCCTGCATGCATGTCTGTATACCACATGAATGTAGTGCTTGACAAGCTAGAACTAGAGTTGCAGACGATTGTGAGCTGCTATGTGGTTGCTGGGAATTAAACCTGGTTCCCATAAAAGAACAACCAGTGCTCTTAACCACAGATCCAACTCTCCAGCCCCTAAAATTTTTTAAATTGCCTTGAATTACTAGAACTACTACTCTATATTGAATAAAATCACTAATAATATATAGTTTAACTACATAAAACATTGTATCAAAGTTCTGGTTAACTTACTATTTAAACATAATGTAATAAACTCTCAATTGTCATTACAAACAATACCAGTGAAACAAATAGAAGTGTTGCCACCACAAAGCACAATTTCAGCTCAAACTCCCATCTCTTGCACCTCACCTAGTCTCTAAGAGTTGTATAAAATAGACTCAATCCTCGTTTAGAAAGACAGATGGGATGTGCATTGAACGTATGACAGGAGTCTACTGAGCACATTTGAAAGACTCTAACTAGCAGTGTTTTCAAAGCAAATACTCATGACCAAACCTTTGGCAGAGTACAGGGAATCAGAAGAAAGAAGGGGAGTTAGTCTGATGAGGAAAGAATAGGAGCTCCACAAGGACCAAATATATCTGGGCACAGGGTCTTTTCTGAGACTGACATGCAACCAAGGACCATGTATGAATATAACCTAGAACCTCTGCTCAGATGTAGCCTGTGGTAGCTCAGTAACCAATTGGTTTCCCATAGTGAGGGGAACAAGGACTATTTCTAACAGGAACTCAATGACTGGCTCTTTGGCCTCCCCACCCTCCAAGGGAGGAGCAGTCCTGTTAGGCCACAGAGGAGAGCTTTGCAGCCAATCCTGAAGATACCTGATAAAACAGGATCAGATGAATGGGGAGGAGGGCCCCCCTATCAGTGGACTTGGCAAGGGGCACGGTGGAGATGAGGGAAGGAGGGAGGGACTGGGAGGGAATGAGGGATCGGGACACGACTGGGATACAGAGTTAATAAAATGTAACTGATAAGAAAAAAATAAAATTTAAAAAAAAAAATAGACACAGGCCAGATACTGTAGGGAATTCCTCAAACATGTACCCACTGCATATGAAAAGAACTGCAGCTGAACTCTGTTAACATTTCAGAAAAACAGAAGCTGGAGATGATAGGACACTCTGGTAATGAACAGTTAGTGATTTCCAGTGTTCCAGGAAGGCAACATTCAAAAGCTTTGGGATGCTGAACCAAAATCCAAAAAGAAGCTGCAGCATCTGTACACAAGAGCTGAGCATGAAAAGAAATGGAGTCAACAGCTGTTACGTGATAGTTTCTTCTGAGATTAAAACCTTTCCCTTTGGAGAAAAACTTGTTAAAACATGGTATGTTAAAGGGGAGATAAAACAGCAGGGTGTCCTAAGAAGGAAGCTTATAAAGATGCAGGATATGAAAAGGCAAGAAAACCACAGGATATTCTAACATTCCTTTCTACAGGGAAGCTCATTAAGCTCATGAAGTAAACAACTCAACAGCTTTGGGAGGTCACTGAAATTCAGTATATCTGTTAGGTCCCACCTTTCCCAAGTGAATATAAGCAGTAAGGAGTGCTGAGAAACACTCTCAAACAAGCTGTGCTATCTTGAATAGACAGAGATGAGACAAACCACCTACGAGAAACAGAGAGTTGTAGAGCTGACTGGCAGAAGTCAGAGACCAGCAGAGTTGCATGGAAGAGGTTTAGTCAACTGACCTGCATGGGACACTCTCCAACCTGTTAAGCTGCCTTCTGGCTGGCTCAACTGCACTCCAGGTTTCCAGCTTTCATGAGCTGAACACATGCGGGATGGGCTTTTCGTGATACAACTAATTTTGAAATACTTTTACTCCTGCAGGTAATTCCTCACCCATACTCCTGTGAGTAACTCTATTGCTCTACCACATTAGACTTTAGTGGTATCTAAAGATTCAGTTATGTTTGGGGATGTTTCCCATCTAAAAGAGCAAAACACTTGGAAGATGAATATGAAAACAAACTCGCAGAATCAGTTAATCACGATGACCCAAATACTATGAAAATTTTAAAATCAAAGCAAGAGCAACTAAATACTATTTTCTGTTGTCTAAATTTGCATTCTTTGGTGTATTAATGCCTATACTTTGTGGCAGGAAAGAAAAAACAAACCTGTTTTATTATAATGGAAATGGGCTGAAAGCCTACTCCTTGAGCACTCGTTCTCATAGTATCAGAATATGCTATGCAAGCTTCCAGTGGAGAAAAGTACTACCCAGCCATAAAGCCTAACACAAAACCACAGCAATGGCCAGCCCAGAAATATCTCCAGTGGTGCAACAGTAACACTTTTATCCATCTAATTGGCCTTATGGCCCAACCACTAGGAAGGAATTAATTAATGCCTGGTACTGTAAACTTTGTCCAACCCTTCACTGGAGAAGTCATTGACCCTAGAGGAGACCTTTCTACTGGCATTTTTCATAACCAGTATTATTGCTAATTATATTACAAACGCTTTCCCTTATACCTGCAAGAAAGTATAGCTCTTACCCCCACCAAAACTTCATTTCAAAACAAATGAAAAGGAATACAGAGATCCTCGACTGTTCAAAAAGCAGAGAATAAATGTTTGTGGGGTTTCTAGCCCCAACTGATACATTTACAATACAACCCCTATATCTAAGGCTAAAGGAAAATACAGGAAGAAGGGTAGAAAGATGGTAAGTGTGAGGAACCAGAATACCTGCTACCAATAGGGCCTCCTAGACATGACAAAGAATCTACACTCACAAAATCTGAACAATAGTTATTCGAACAAAATCTGCATAATGACAACACAAGCTGACAAGCCAATGTGAACAAGGGAAATTCAACAAGGTCCCACCTCTAGATAAAGAGCTACAGGCAATAAATGCCTGATGAGAGAGGGAGAGACTGTTTTCTCCGGG